ATTTTAGCTTCAAGGATGAAGATAAGATCAAGGTTGTGAGAGCGGGCTAGATTTTTGCAGCAAAATACTTTGTTCGGGTTGTTAAACCCCCGAATATTCCAAGCTGCAAAATTAGGAAGGGTCATTGGGATTTAGAATTGGGGGTAGAGGCTTTTTTCCCTTGCTTGCCTCTAGTTTGTTTTTTATTTTGGACATTGGGTGGCTGTTATTTTGTGGAGCTGGAAGTGGCATTGTTTGTTTCATTGGTGGGTGGGGGAATGTTTGGTTGATGATTGCGGGGTGAAGTGTGAGATGGATTGTTATTATTTTGATTACCAGTGTCAGAAGAGCTGGTATGAGGTTGGTTAAGGGTATGTTTTGGGGGGGAATGTGGTGGGATAATCTCATCGGGCTTGTCCTGATCAAATAGTGCTTGGAATTTATTGGCTGTGTTGAGGGGTGGGGGTTGTTTCAATTGTGGGACAATGTCCGTTATGTCTTGGAATTCCCCAGACGGAGAATTCAGGTTTGGAATAAGAGAGGAAGAGGCAGTGTTCTGAGCGGGAGGCATGATAGGCTGCTGGGCAGGGCCAAGTTGTGGTTGGGCTATTCGGTTTGGAGGGGTATATTTTGGCATTGTAAGTTTGGGCGGAGGGGAAGGACGCGGTCTCCGACTGGAGCTCCTACCTCTCTATTGCTTGCCAATGTTTGGTTTCAAAATGGGATCTTTGGGACAAAGCGTAGGAGGGTGCATAATATTCCCACAATGGGAGCAACTTTCAGGTTTCGAGTCATATTAAACCCTTAAAGCTGTCGTTTTTCCATCAACATTGAAGTAAATTTCCTCAGGGAAAGGGGATTTGCTTGTAACTTGAACACAAACTCTAGCGAAAGTTAAGCTAGTTTTAGCCGCAGTTAAGGCATCTACAGCGATTGGAATTTCAATAAAACTAGCAAGTTTAGAGATACCTTCCGGAGTCCAGAGAGAGAGCGGAAGGTTCATAATTTTTATCCATAAGGGAATAGAGGGAAATTCCTCACGCTTCGGGATGAAATCTGGGCTCCATTTCTGTAAGACGAAAGGCTTACCAAAGAAGAACTAGGGCCCCCAAACCAGGCATGCTTGTAATCTTCAAGTGCAGTAAATTTTAGTAAGAAGAATCCATCATCCATAGTAAGAAGAGTGAGGGATCCTTTTAGTGTCTAGGTCCTTTTGATCACCGCATGTAGGGCTTCATAAAAAGGTCTCTTCCCAATGGAGTATCCAACCAGAGATAGCGACCTTTCCGGTGCTCCAGCGACGAACTGGTCACTGGTAAATTGTGCCGTGAAGTTTTCCGTAGGGACAAAGGGAAGGGAGTGTGAGAAGTTAGTGGAGACTTGGGGGGTGGTGTTGAGAAGGTTCTTCCAAAGAGGAAGTATAGAGTTTCTAGGAGACGCGATATTGGTGGAAGAGGAGAGAAGAGGTGGGAACTCAGCGTCAGCCATGGGGAGAAGCCCCCGGTCGGGGTGGCGGCGGGAAAGACAATCTGGAAGAAACCCTAGCAGAGCAAAAGAAAACCCCTCTCCTTTAGTGGAATTCAGTCTTCATCCTGAGGGTTTAAATTTGGGGCTGTACGCTCTTTGAGATGATCAAGGAACTGCAATCGTATCAAAGAGAACACCAATGATCAAGGAACTTTCAACTCCCACGCTGACATTGCTAATGTCTTTGTCAATCATTACATAAAGTTATTTAATACTCCAGCTCCTAATTGTCCGGACCATACTCTCAATGAAATTCCGACTGGTAACTTAATTCCTGAACATCTTGTTTCCACTCTTATAGCACCTGTCACCTTGGACGAGATCAAACACATTATTTTCTTTGGGAAATCTAATTCTGCCCCTGGACCAGATGGATTCACCTTTGAATTCTATAGATCTTCTTGGAATGTCATTAAGCATCAACTTTGCAAAGCAGATTCTTCCTTTTTCAGCTCCAGTTACATGCCCATTCAAGTTAAAGCCAATGCTGTTGCACTTATTCCAAAGAAACCTCATGCCAACAATGTAAAGGATTTCCGGCCCATTGCTCTTTGCAATGTTATCTATGAGATTATTGCTAAAATCTTAGCTAATATAATGGAAATTGTCCTTCCTCATATCATCCACCCTAGTCAAGGTGGTTTTATCCACAAGAGAAGCATCTCTGATAACATTTTATTAGCTGCTGAACTTCTAGGAAATTTCAATGCCAAAGGCAAGAAAAAATTCTACTGTGCTAAATTTGATATTACGAAAGCTTTCGACATGGTTTCTAGAGACTTTCTTTATAAGAGATTAGAAGCTAAAGGTTTCCCGGATCTTTTCATTTCTTGGATTAAGGCTTGTACCACAAATGTTCACTTCTCTATATGCATTAATGGGGTGCTTGAAGGCTATTTTAATTCAATTTCGGGCATTAGGAGGCTGCCCACTTTCCCCATACTTGTTTAGTATTGTCATGGATGGTTTATCCTCTAAGCTAGAGTTAGCTTCTTCTCAAAATGCCTTCACTAGGATTTCTGTTGGGAACTGCAAGGTGTCCCGTCTCATGTTCGCTGATGACCTGTTAGTTTTTGGAGCTTCCACCAACTCCAATGCTCATACCTTGAATACCATCCTTAGAGATTTTGCTGATGCTACTGGTCTACACGTCAACCCCCACAAAAGCACTATTCTGATCTCCAAAGACACTCCTAATGCTGTGAACATTTGTAACATTCTCAATATTCAACAATCTCACGGCCCCATTAAATACTTGGGATTACCCATTCACTACAAGAAGCTGAAAGTGAGGGATTTTCAGCCGTTGATTCAGAAAATCACAACTCTCTTAGATGGTTGGAAAGCCAAAACCCTATCACTTGCGGGCATAATTCAATACATTAAATTCACCATCTGTAATGCAATTGCTTACTGGATCCGTGGCTCCATCATTCCTAAGGGTTGTTGCAAACTGATTAACCGTATGTGTTCAAGATTTACTTTCTTTGGCAATATCAACCTTAGAAAATTAGCCACTGTGTCGTGGAAAGACACTTGCTGCCCCAAAATTAATGGAGGTCTGGGTATACCTTCTATTGATTCTTTATACTACAGTCACGCTTGCTCTATCATCTGGAGATTCCTTAACTCTAGCAATCTCCATTTTAGTTGGTGGAAAGCCAAATATCATTCTCTATGGAATTTTATGGCGGTGAAAAAGTTGCACTACTGGGATTACATTTGCAACATTGCTAATAGTATTAAAAACTGCATTTCTCTCTATGTTTCACCTATTAGCAATTTATCTATTAATTGGGACCCTTGGTGTGGTGTCTCTTCCATAGATGATTTACTTTGCAATTCTAACTCTGTTGAGAGCTTCTCTCAGTACTTTGATTGGAATGTCTCTAATATTATACTGGATGGGAATTGGAATATCCAGGGAATTTTTGGTAGCAACATTGCCACTCTTATTAATTTGGTGGCCATTGATACTCATGAGGAATCTCATTACTGGAATGGTAAACAGAACCCAAAATTTGGTGATTTTTGCTCCCAGTTCTTTATTAACAGAACTAAGGTAACTTGGCACCACTTTATTTGGCATAAAAAGGGGCTCTTCGTTACTCGGTTTATGCGTGGTTGGCATTTAAAGGTGGTCTCAAAACATCTGATGTTTTAGCATCTCGTGGTATTGCTGTTCCTAATTTATGTTGTCTTTGTCATGGTGGTATGGAAACTATTTCCCATTTATTTTTTGAGTGCAACTTCTCTTTTGATGTGGCTAAGTCGCTCATCCCATGCCTGCAAGACCTGCTCATGAGGCCAAATATGTATCAACTTTATGATAAAATTCTGGAGCAGGGTTACACACCTCACACTAGGAACTTTTATCTTCTTACTGCTTCAACAATGCTTTATTACCTTTGGAGGGCAAGAAATGATAGGTTATTTGGTGACACCTTTGATTGTAGTGCCACGGTTGTTGCCAAAATCAGAAAAGCAGTTATATTCAAAACTCATGGCTGGAACAAAAATTGAATTTTTGTGGCTATTCTTCACGCCAAATCTAGTGGATTACTACATTGCTGCTATGGATGATCTACAATTTTGGAGGCAATGGAAGACTCGTCTGTCTGGTCTGATTGCCTGGGTTCTCATTTTTGATGGGACGATTATGATCGCTGATTTACTTCAGTAGCCCCTTGGATGGTCTTTTTGGCAACCAGGGGCAATGCTCAGTTCAGTCCGACACATATTTTTGATCCTTCTCGAGTATTATGAGCATTTTATCTGAGTCCTGGGCTCTTTTGCCCTACTGCTGTTTCATTTTCCAATTATAACTTTTCATTTCCTTTAGAATCCTCAATCTTGTTTTGTTTTGAGATTTTGGATTATATTTTGTTTTTTACTCACTTGTAATTTCTTTTTATGCAATGAATTGGGCTTTGCCCCTAAATTTTCCCAAAAAAAAAAAAAAAACCGATGTATGGAAGGGCGTGACATTGTTATTCATCATATAGATGATAACATAAGATTACAAAGTATATATATGTGAAATAAAATTTCGATTACATTTTTAAAAAAAGCAATAATAAATTTCTTTAATTTTTGCTATTATTATTTATAAAGCTATAAAATCAAAATTCTCTTCTAAAATAAAAAAGAATAAAAAACAACAAAGATGCGCCCCCTCCGTGCACCGTCGAAGTGCCTAAGGGCATCTCCAACCGAACGGCAAACACTTGTTTGTCGTTCTTGCTTTGCTCCAACCGATTGCCATTTTTTATGCCATTTGATCGCGGATGAACAATGCGACGCCAATATTGGCGTCGCACTGTTCATCTGCGCCATTTTTTTTTCTCTACCGAATAGGTTGGGAAGAAAGGCGCGAAAGAAAATGACTGTTTAGCGGCAAAATGGCGTTGGATTGGAAATAAAACACGACATTTTTTGATTTCCCTGCATTTTTGGAGTGAAAAATGACATTTTCGGTTGGAGATGCCCTAACAGCAAAGATTCGCTCACGGTAGTTCACCAGAAGGTTCGAGCTCACCCCTGGCGGCGATGCTGAAACCACCGGAACACCAGGTAGCCGGCCACCAGGCCCGAGATGGCCGCCTTGGCCCCCTCGTCGACGGCTCAGGCCTCTTCTACAAGCCCCTTCAAAGCGACGACCGTGGCGCCAACGAATTGACCTTCTACACCTCCTTCTCTTCCGAACCCCGCATTCCCACGCGCATCCGCTCCTTCTTCCCTGGATTCCACGGAACTCAGCTTCTCCGCGCTTCCGATGGCTCCGGTCTCCACCCCCACCTCGTCCTCGACGACCTCTTTGCCGGCCTCCGTCTTCCCTCCGTCATCGATCTCAAGATCGGATCCCGCACCTGGTTCCCCTCTGCTCCTGAAGACTACTTTCGCAAGTGCCTCGCCAAGGACCGTAAATCCACCTCCGCTCTCCTTGGTTTCCGCATCTCTGGTCTTCAGGTCAACGACGAGGACTGCAGGTGGCGCCCCAGCCACGATGAAGTACGCCAGTTCAATGCTAAGGACGTCTGCCGTATCCTCCGTCGCTTCGTTTCGTCCGACCCGGCCTCGGATTGCGAACCGAACTGCGTCTTTGCGTCTGCCGTCTACGGTGGCGCGGAGGGAGTTCTCGCCCAGTTACTTGAACTGAAGGCCTGGTTCGAGGAGCAGACCCTCTTCCACTTCTATTCGGCTTCCGTCCTCGTGGCCTACGACAAGGATGGTTCTGAGGATGGTCGATACCCTAACCGTGCGAGGGTGAGGCTTGTAGACTTCGCGCATGTCCTGGACGGTAATGGGGTGATCGATCACAATTTTTTGGGTGGACTCTGCTCGCTCATCAAATTCATCTCCAATATTCTCAAAGACCCCGACAATATCTCTAATTCAAATGCTTTATGAAGGGCACTAACGGGATCCAGATTCCACAAAAAGAATCGTGGCGAATGCTGGATTGAAGACGCTTCGGACAATTTGCTTTAATTTCTCATTATCGTTAATATAACTTATACTTTTCCTGATTCTTAAGGCTGGGGGCTTCAGCGTTTTTCAATCTATTGGTGAGATTTCTTGACAATCTCCACCTGGAATTTTATACATTGTTGATTGATAAAGGAATGATAAAATGTTGTAGTTTTCACATGCGCATAGCTTGATGGAATTAGGTCCATTTTTCAAACAGATACAATTGATTTCCTTAATTGCATGAAAGAAGGATCCATTGAGGCCTATATTACGCTTGCATTTTGGAATTTGTTCTTCCATTTATCATCTTCTTCATATACCCTTATTTAGTTGCAGATAAAAGTAGCTTTATTTATTTGAAGAAGTATTAATTTGAACTCGCTGTATGTTAAATGGCTTCTCTGATGAAAACAAACCTTGAGCATCCTTCCTTTTTGTGGTACACGCATGGCATATGAATTATGAACAGTATAGAGATTCGAGATCTTTAAATAACTATGGACCCAACAATACATTTTCTTATGCTTGTAGATGAAATTCAGACCGCAATCATATTAGTAATACTTCTTTTATCCTTTATAGTCAATTTATATCTCCCAAACAATGGTGATGTACTTCACAGAGAAATCAATTACATTAGTCGTTGTTAATGTGCGAAAATATTCTTATTTTCTAGCATGTTTTTCACATTAACTTTATGTTGAATCTAGCTCTCTCCTATTTGATGCCAAATGTGCATTTATGTATTATTTCAATCTACAATGACATTAAAATGCTTAAGAAGCAATGCCACTAACTTAAGATGTTTAGCAAAAAGGAAAGAGTAATAGCTACTATAATCTTGAATGAAACTTGAACATGGTTAACATAAATTTGTCTTTTCTCATTTGCTATATGATATACAATAGAAAATAACATTTTAGTTAGCTGCAAATGAATGCATGATCCTAAGCGCTTGATCATCAAATTTAGAATATGGGTTATTTATAATATAAATAATCAAATTTTCAGTTATAATTGAAAATTTTCACTTTTTGTGAGATTTCATTGTATTCCTTATGGGTTTGTTTGGTTTCTTGTAGTTTCAAAAACTTTTTTTAGAAAGTGAGGATTTTGTGGGGAGAATGAGGACCAAAATCCACCTGGAGAGATCATTAAAGGGTTTGAGTCATGGTTTCTCTAAACCTCATGAAAAGGTGGAATTAGAAAATATATTTGGGGACCTCAAATCTTCTGTTGGGCTAAACTATTGAGAGCCAAATTTGTGAATTAGCGCTAGATATTGGATGACTTTCTCAATGCAAGTGAAGGCTTATCTGGAGGCCAAGAAGCTAAGGAGATGTGCGCATTTAAAAATTGATTAGAATAAAGAGATTTATTGAGAGAAGCAGGATAAGAGTTGCTTATTTATTGAATGAGACATGCTAAGTTGTAAAATTGTTTTGTAGTGGACTGCCTCTCCACATTCACTTGCATTGTTTTAGTGGGCAATGCACCTTGTAGAATAAATATGACATATAGTATTGTTTCTATGCATGAATGTTGGTTGCTGTTAGAGGTGTCTAGAACCAAGGATTTGAGGTCAATGTGAGCACCAACCTTCAAGTCTGTTTGAATATTTAACTTCATTGGCAAGGCTACAAGTATAACACCCCAAAATCTAAGTTAGAAATTACCTATTTTTCTTATATGCTTATTAATTCTCAACTCAATTTAGAAATATTATGTATATTCCTTCTGGTTGTATGTTTTATATTTTCTGGATAATTAGCTGGCTTCGGTATAATGATAATCGTAACAAGTGATTGAAAAGAAATAATCTGAATTACAAAATCATATGTACCTTCTAATACTAGATTCCCTACTCCATATTAAACTCGATCTGCTCAGCAGGACTCTTGCCTTTGCCTAAAATATTTTAACTAATAGAGAGTAAAAACTCAATAGGTCGCCCTTTTTCTTCTTAACAAAGTTCAATTCATAGATCAAAATGAAAAATAACAAAAAGAAACTAACATTATTATTTGCTTCATGGTTTGGCATACTACTCATATGAAAATGAATGCAAAATGCATGCCTTAATACTCACTCATAACTCCCAAGTTTTACCTCCCACTTGCCTGAAGTAGGTGTAGAGCATAGCCAAAACAGAGCAAAGTATATTCCAAAATAGAGTCATTTAAGAGCTAAAACAAAACAGAGTAAACCAACACAAACATATGTTCACATTAGGCCCAATTAAAGAGTTTCATAGTGTACTTTCTTTTTCACAACAAAGCTCCAGAATGTCATGAAATGCATGATAATGCAAATACATATATAACTAAGAAATTCAAAGTATGTATATAAATATATGTCAATTTCATCAAAAGCCCAAAATTTCAGGTGCTTATACAAAATTTTCAAAAGTTTATTAATTTTACAAAGGATGTGTAAAATGATAAATTAGCACACTTTAATTTTATAGAAGTTCATTGGAGACTCAATAAACCAAAACTTACTAAAATTCACACTGAGCAAACTGACCCATGAAATTTTGCATTCTTACAATCAAATTGTCCAGAATGAAAAGTGTCACGGTATAATAAAAGTTATTCGGTGAAAACTCTTTCAGACTTAAAGAAAAATATATTTTTAAGCATATCTTTTTATAATTAGAAATTAACTCAAGCCCGATAATTTCCCCAATAGTTGGACGGACGATTTCCTTATTTCGGCCTCCAAAACTCCTCTTTTTCTTTCTCTATCCTTCCTTTTCTTCTCCTTTCTTCTACGACGAGGTGGCTGAGCAATTGGATTTTCTCAAATGGGTTGAGATATTTTAATATTTAAAAAGCACTAACTTCGACCTAGCTTTGCAACGCTCACTTTCCAATGCTGCAATGCCCACAGAGAATCTTCTAAAATTTCCCATAATATGCTCACTTAAGACCCGGTGCCGCGGTGCATTCTAAAAACCTAATATTCTTTTAAAAATTAGAAATTGGCGCCACGGCTCTTCCAAAATTGGCGCCACGGCGCTTCCAAAATTGGCGCCACGACGCTTGCAGAGAAAAATCCAAACATTGGATTCTTACTTCTTAGATCTCAAACCATGATTTTTTTCTATCCCATTCAATATTCTCACACTCCTAATTACTAATTAACTCAAAATTAATTAGTAATATAAAAAATTACCCGAATTTCAGACGGCAGATATTTCAACAAGGCACTTAACTATGCTAAGTTTTGGAATTAGGTTCTCTATTTGCTTGCTCAGGTTGATAACGGGGGGGGGGCTTACTTACATGTTATGGAGTTATCTTTCAGTGTGAGGGCCCCAAAATGCTACAAAAAGAGTGCAATTAACTATTTGAAATTGCCTCATTCAATCCTAGTTTGGTCGTACCCTCACCTCAAAAATAAAAAGGAAAACAACCACTGCTAGGGGTGTTAATTTGGATCATGCTTGCAATTTAAGGTCAGCCCCTTTACAACCTAAATCATTTATACTTGACCTACATTGATGTGGCATGAATTTTTTTAATCAATTAGGTCCGAATGTTATGTTATTTTTGGTTATCAATTCATAGTTTACTAAGTTTAGTTTCAACGGTTTAGCAAAACATTGGGGCTTAGACGAACCATCCATTTTACCTTTGAGTGCCATTCCTCACTGGTGCAACAATTTACATTGTCATAATTTTGTCGAACTAAAGTTGATTGAAACCTTAGACCATAATCTGCCAAGAAATTCAAAGGCCATTTGACAAGTCAAGCTAGATTTTGATAGCCCTAATCAATAAAAAAATGCTAGCATTTGGGCTTTGTTTAAATATAGAATTGCTATTGAAAGCTTAATTTCATGATGATTTCTCTCAATTTCTTTCTTTGGTGCTTGTAACAACAGATTTGGAGCACTTCCACTCTAGCAGATTGTATTAAAGTTATAGGTTGAATAAAAGAGATGGCATCCTAAAAATGTTCAATCTGCACATCCAAATATAAGTTTGAGAAATTCAATAGAGTCGCCCATCTACCATCGTCCGTTCTTCGTCACTTGACTACCATCACCCAACTATTTTCACTCGATTACAATCATCACCTATGCATCGTCGTCTGCCTTATCATCAGTTGATAGCCATTATCCGACTGTCATCAACAGCCCACAAATGATTGTCTGTCATCATTCGACAATCAGCTTTTGACTTCCATAGTTTGACTATCATCACTCTTCCACCAACATTTGACTGGCATTGTACGGATGCCATCATCACCCTTCAATACTTCTCCAACATTCTTAACTATCATATGAGATTGTGGTAGTGTTTTAAATGTTGCAATCCCACCTTTTCCATTTGAGGAGATGAGCATACCTTTATAATCTCTATTTATCTAGTAGATTATTTCATTTGGGTCAGGTTGATGATTTTTTTTTTTACAGTTTTTCATATAAAAACTTTTGTTTCTCTTGTGAAACACTTCTTTTATATGTGTGCATTTTGAATCTTCTTATTAAGCTAGGACATTAACCTCTCACTCTACTATCACAAAAATTCTAGCAAACAGCACCCCCATTTCCTCTCCTAAGAAATAAGCCTTAGCATTAGTGATACAGAGCAGGCCCATGCCAATAGATACAGAGCAGGCCCATGTCAATAGGTGAGTAAACTACCCTTTATTCTTGAACTATATTGATCACATCTAACAACACACCACAATCAGAAGGCATTACCGGCAACACATGGCAGAACATTCCAGTAACGGCACAAGCAAGCACTACCGCAGGATAATAACAACTCTGTTTAATCATAGCTATTCACCTGTAAAGGCACTACACTTACACTAGTATAAGTAGACCTCATTGGTACTATAGTAAGTATTATGAAAAGCTATTACATCAGACTGGAAAGTTCAATGCTACTCAATATATTTCCTTATTGTTGCTCTTTGTGCTTTCCTTCTTTCTGAAATTGTCTTTATGGTATCAGAGCCAACTGGCTCATTGCTCCAGTTCTGAAAATGGCGTAATCTCCCTATCTCACTCTGGTGAAATATCCTCAGATGCTCAATCTGAAATCATCACCATACCTTCCTCATTTAAATTCCTTATCTCCAACATCAAAACCTTGGTTCCTTCCCAGCTCTCGAACGAAAACTATCCTAAATGGAGATCTCAAATGCTGAAACTATTTAGAGCCAACAACTACGCTGGATTTCTCGACGGCAGCTCCACTGTTCCCTCTCGTCTTCTAGAGCTACCCGATGGTACCTCAACTATCAACCAAGCCTACATAC